CCACGTACAGCCTGCACAACTCAGCAAGAGCCCTGGGTCAAAATAAAGAATGGAAAAGGCCAGGAGCGTAGCTCAGGGACCGTAGAGTGCCCCTGGCTTCAATTCCAGTACCCCCTAATGAAAAGAGATTGGGATGGTGAAACGTCTCATTTTATGAAGCAGCCTCTTGTGGCCAGGCCTTGTGCCTCACAGTATTCTGACTGCCAGGCTCCAGCCCTGGAGTTTCCGAGCAGTCAGTTTAGTTTCTCCACTGGCAGGAGGAGACAGAAGAGGAACCTTGCTGCCACTGCCGCTCCTGGAGATGCCTGGAGAGAGAGGGTCTTCAGAGCAGTGGGGGGAGGGGTCTCTTGGGGGATGATTTAGAGACCTCAGCAGGGCCCGGCTGCAGGGCCACGGCTGAGGAGCTGGATCACGTCTGACTTCCTGGTCTGTTGGGAGCCACAGCCTGGGTGCGTCTCCCAGGAGCAGAGCTGCCCAGGAAGCTCCAGTTCCTGGGGCTCCTGCCTGGAGGCCAAGGAGGCAGCAGGAAGGAGGCTCACCAAGTGGAAAAAAGAGCTGGAAGAAACTTGGTTGCGGAGGGAGAGAGTGGAATATGGAAAAAGAACACACGGGGGTGGTGTTGGCAAATGTGCTTCATAGGTAAATGACTTCTGCATGAAAGTCTGGAATTTCACCTCTGCCCACCCCACCTCCAGCACCCCACAATCTAGACTTCTCGGCGTCTGCCCTAGAGGAAGACACCTGAGGTGGGCTAGTTTCCTGTCAAAGTAGTTGGGGGGGCGGCTGAAGCCCTGGCAGGGAAAGGGCATCCGTGGCCACCTCTACCGCCAGGGACCATGATTCCTCCTGAGTCTATTTTCAGCCCTCAGTGCGCTGCATGCAAGCACGTGCTTCAGGGTGCTGGGCCACTTCAGAGGTAGCTGGGTCCCAAGGGTCAGCAAGGGCTGCTGGACAGAGCCCTCTGAGATGTCTCTGTGGAGGGTCTGGGTGAGGCCAACATGCTGGGGACAGCAGGTTCCCCTGTCACCCCAAACAGGACCCTAGCCTTCCACGGGAGCTATTCCCATTGCTACGAGGGCATCACTTCACCAGCAGGACCATAACAAGCAGCACTCCCCACGCCCCAGTTGTCTCTGTAGTCTGAGACCCAAGATCCCAAGCCAGTTTTAGTCTCTCAGAGGTGCTGTGCCATCTTCAGACTAGGCAGCCAACGGGGGCCAGAGGGGCTCAGGAATCAGAGCCCACCCCACCCCAGTTCTTTCTCTCTTCCCCTCTCCCCCTGGAATAGTGCACATCCTCACAGCTGCCACCTGCTCAGCCTTTGCCAGAGCAGGATCAGTGACAGGAAGTCACCCCCACTTGCCCCTGAGTAACATTAGCTAGTCAACAAAGCTACCTGCTTTTGTCCTACTTACAGGTGAGGATCAAAAGGAAACGAAGACCTACCCAGGTGCCCCTCACATGCTCCAACAAAACCACACCTCTCCTGAGACCTGGACCTTCCTCACCTCCGTCTTTCTCACCCTCAAGTTCAGCCCAGGCTCCCAGCTCCCTTAGCGCCAGCCTTTCCTGGTAAGGGAGGAGGAGGCGCAGGCCCAGAGGGGGAAAGGCACTTGCCCAGGGCCACGCTTCCCTTTCTGCAGCAAGCCTTTCCCCAAGGCTGACGGTCTGGCTTAGCGCCTGGGGACAGACGGGACCTGGAGAAAGGGCGACCAGCTCTGGGGACGATGCCAGAGGTCTGCAGTTCCCAAGGAGGCGCCCTTGCCCTTGGCTTGGGTCCTAAAGTATGAAAGAATGAGTAGGAGCTCCTGCGGGCAGAGTGGTGAAGCAAGCCCTGCCTTTCGGTTTTTGTTGTGGCTTTTTCCCCCGCAGCCAGAACCGAGCAGCGCCTGATGTAAGCATTTTCAGCTGGAATTCCCGTCGTTGTGATTGGAATCCTTGTAGCTCTTTTCTCCATAGCAACCCCGGGCCACATCAAGCTCTCTGGGAAACCGACCTAGTCATCAGAAAGTGGCATGCTGAGCCAACAATCACAGGGCCAGGGCCAGGGCCAGGGCCAGGGGCTAGACGCAATGCCTGAGGCGTGCGCACAGACAGGGCCAAGACCGGGGACCACCAGCGGCCACGAGCACCAGCTTGGCCCGGCCCACTGTGATCCTGGAGGCCGGGTGTTCTCTGGAGCCGTCTCAGGCCTCCAGCAGAAGCCCCGAGGGCAGCCCTGGTGGGAGGGGGAGAGGGGCATTCAGCAGGCATTAATGAGTGAGTGCAGAATGCCCACCTCCTACTCTAGGCCTGGGCAGGCCCTTCCCCGGTTCCCAACCGCTCCAGAAACGGGGAATGAGCACGCTCCTCATGGGAAAAACCCGGCATTTCTGAAAGTGGCCTCTGGGCTCCTCCAGCAGGCAAATGCCCTGGGTCATCTGCTTAAACTGCAGATCCCTTCCAGTCTCCCCACCTCTGGGTCTGAGTCTGAACATCGGTCCTGGAGAATGACACCCAAAGGGTCATTCCTGTCCTTTGCCTTTCCAGTCTCCACCCAGCCCTGTCCTTCCCACTTCCTGTCTGCACCCCACAGTTCTTGGTCATGCCGGTACCCCAGCAACCGACAGGGAAAGTGAGCAGAAAGTGCCCGTCAAATGCTTCCACGTGTCTTGCAGAGAAGCGAAGCTGGCTCCATTTGTAGGCCTCAAATGGGACTTCAGCAAGTTCCTCTCTGTGCTTCAGTTTCCCTTTGGGAAAATGAATTGACCCAACCCACCCCATCTCCTGCCCCCTCCACAGCCCCGCATGAGGAAAGGACTGTGTCCCCAGCCTTGAGGACTCAGGAGTTCTCTGCTCTATTCTTACAACTTGCCTGTGACTTATCAATTATTTCAAGATAAGAAAGTGAAAGACAAAAATGAAAACAAAACAGAAGAGCTTGGGCCTCTGCAGTGTGCCCCTAGCATCAGCCACCCTTCCGTACACAGAAGTGAGACCTCAGGAGGTGGCATGGCAGGCTCAGGTTTATACAGCTCGATGGTATCCTCCGAGCCACTTGGCTCCCTAGGTGCTGCCTCCCCTGCCACATACCCTACTGGCTGGAAGACCCTGAGCAATTCATCTCCCTGCTCCCCTGTGAGTCCCCCGTGCCCAGGGCACTGGCATCAGTCGCTTGTCTGGGGCTATAGCAGGGATGGATGCAGAGGAGGTACAAAAGCCTGGGGCAAAAGCTCAGAGCAGTGGAGCCCCAGAAAGCAGCTTTCCTCTTCCCAGGCACTGGCCCTGCCCCATGCCACCAGGGGACTGGCAGTGAAGTGGCCCCAGGGCTCAGCAAGAAGACCAGCTTGTACTACAGGTGACCTGGCACTGTGTAGGCTACGGGTTGAAGCAAGATGCAGACCAAAGGGATCAGTGACCTGTGGAAGTGTGAGTGGGAAAGGAGGCAGGCAGATGCACTGGGCTGGAACTGGGGGCGTTTGCTCGGCACGTAACTAAAGACAGCTCAGGGAACAGGTGCTGGTGCCTACCTCGGCCAGCCCAGGCCCAGTGCCGGGGGCCCAGAGTTCCTGCCCTGCTAGACCTCTCTTAGGAGACTGCAGGGGCACTGGGCAGAAAAATAAGCACACAAAGCAGGCTGAGGGAGGTGAGGTGGGGCTCTGGCTACAGCTGGGCCCACTACCCTTCAGTCCAGAGCGCTCCGTCTGGAATCTGGACTTGAGCTGAGCAGAAAGTGAGACAACCATTGCTACCATTTCCTTTCGGACGGCTGCTCCTTACTGAGGGACCCATCTGTCTCTGCCACTCTTCTGGACATGATGTGGGGTGGATTTCTCTTCCAGCCCTCACTGCTCAGGTTAGACACAAGCAACCCTAAAGGATATGCAAGCTTTGACCTGGTGGTTGCAGAGCAACTCCTCCTTCCACGTTCCCTTCCTCCAGGAAGCCTGCCCTGACCTGTCCAGCCAGGGCTGCTTCCCTGCTCCCGGCGTGGGGAGCCCCTTATGTTTTTATGCCACGCAGAGCTATAGTACCCTGTGTGGTCACAGGCTACCCCTGTCACTGAGTCATGGAAGTGAACAGATCTTGGGCACCTACTGTGTGCCTGTGCCCACACCAGGTTCCTTCTACCAGCTCCATCCGCTGGTACTTGGTGGAAGGAGCGGGCAGAGCAGGTGAGATGGCTGTTCCTGATGCCCTGGCATGATGTGAGGAAAGGCGCAAACACCACAGCCCTCCAGAAAGCCACGCTGGTTTGTGAATCTGTGTCCTGGCCACTTGCTGGCATCCCAGCTGGCCCTGCTGTTTCAGATGAGGCTCTGAGGAGGCCGGACTTCCCTCAGCATCCCTCTGCACCCATGTGCAGCTGGGAAGGTGGAGGAGAACAGTGCTGGGCTCTCTAACTCAAAGCCCCCTCCCCACTGCTCAAGCCTATCAGCCTGTGGGTCCCTGCTTCCTATCCCCAAGCAGGCACCATGACCAGAAGTCCAAAGGGCCATGAGACTAAGGCAAGACTAAGATCAGTGTCAGGAGCCTTGAGGAGTGCCCGGCCAGTGGGGTGGCAGAGGCTCCTTCTCGGGCTTCAGTGTAGGGCTTTGGGTCCTGGGATGCTGCCACTCCACCATGCAGGGTTGGGGCTGAGCGCCAATGCCTCAGGGAGAACACAGCTCCTCCAGCCGCGCTGAGGTCCCAAACCTCGAAGCCTCATGGAGTGCAGGGCCGCCCTGGACAGGAGCTGGCCTAATGTGTTGCCCACTTGGACCCCCAGGTCGGAACTAACAGAGCAGACAGGAAGACCTGGGCTTCCTGCCTACCTCTGAAGCAAAGTATCACTCTGCCTTTCCAAAGGGGACGGGGCTCTTGGCTCCCCCTGCCCCCATCAAAACAATTGCGCCACAGAGCCGGGGCACTGCAGATCCTGTTGATAACACCAGAGACACTGGATTCGGCGCCTTCTGTCTGAGCAGCAGCAGCTCCCTTCCCCTAGCCCTCCCTCAGATCACCCTCTGCCCAGCACATACCCGTCTCAAGCCACCAGCCAGCCCCTGAGCAGCTTCTCTGGTGAGCCAGCCCCTGGCTCTCAGTTTTCTCATCTGCAGAATAGACACCGGGTTTGCCTGAGCTTGCCTGGTTTTTGCAGCAGCAACTCTTGGATTGCCCTGCCCCCTCCTGCCATTGGCCAACCATCAAAGGGTCTTCTCTGGGAAGGGTGACAACAGAGGACCAGGCCAGCGATGGGGCCACCGGCTTTAGCAACGCAGGCCTCCTCTGCCCCTCTGTTAGTCCCTTTGCTCACAGTGGAAACAGCGGAAGCTGAGAGAACTGCCTCCCCGAGGGAACCCAAGGAGGAATGCTTGCAGCGGCTGAGCGTTATAGAAGGGAAACTGAGGCAGGACCCGACTTGTCCCCAGCAGGACACGGAGTGGGTAGCCCTCGCTGCCTCCCCGCCAGGCCGTGTCTGACGGAGACTCGACAGCCCTACCTGGCGCAGGTGCCCGGCTCGTGGGGTGGGCGCGGGGCGCGGGCTCCCTCGGGTGGGTTGCGCCCGGGCGGGATGGGGCGGCTGGCGCGGGGCGCAGCAGGGAGCGCGCAGGGAGGCGAGGAGGCACGGACTGGGCTCCGCCCGCAGGAGAACAAACAGGTTTTCTCCGGCCGCCGGAGCCTCGCCCCTCGCCCCTCCCCTCGGCCGGCCCCCTTCCTCTGCCCTCTCCTGGGGTAGGTAGAGGAGCCTGGCACATTCCGCACATTCTCCCGCCAGTGTCCTCGGCCCGCCCCCCCTGCCCAGGCCCGCCCCGCGGGGCTGTGGGAGAAACCGAGGCCGGTGCCCCGCCGCGGGGCGAGCCGCGGAAGGTCGGGCGCGGTCGGCACTTCCCGCACCGTGCAGTGCTCCGTGCTCGGCGGCTGCCACGTGAGGGGCCCTGGCCGCCGGCTCGCGGCCCTGCCCGCCCGACAGATCCGGCCCAGGCTAGGGGCCAACGACTTGCACAGATGATGTGGGCTTAACTCCGCCGAGAACTACTGTTGTTAGATCCATTTTACAGATGGAGATCCCAGACAGAGCGGGGAGGGGCGGGGGGCTGGTGGCTGAGATCATGCAGGAAGTCTCGAGGCCAGGCGGGGGGAAGAAGAAGAAAGTGACCACGGAGCAGATCCGGCAGTGCCGGGAGGCCCTCACAAGGGAAGGCCATCCTGGGGGACCTGTGCGCCCACGACACAGCAAATGGGGCACCTGGCAGGCTGAGGCAGGAGACACATGGAGACCCTGGAGCCAATGCAGTGTGCTAAGTAGCACTCCTGATGGTTGAGCCCTTACCTTATGCGAGGCAGTGGGCCGGGGGCAGCGATGGAGGCCACCAAAGTGATCCTCCTCACATGCCCTGGGAGGCCGGGCAGAGGGGACAGTTAGGCCACCCTAACAGATGGCATTGACCTGGCCAGAGCTGACCTATCAAGATAATTCCATCGAAAGAATGGAACTTGACAGGTCCTCCTTCCTCAGGTCTAGCCAATCCTATAGCCCAGGGGCCTCTGCTGCATCCGGGCCCACAGCACCAGCCTCCTTGCTGGCTCCCCTGCCTTGGGGCTCACCTCCCTCTGCACTCAGTGTCCACACGGAAGTCACTGAGGAGCTCACAGGCGCTGGTTGGCCACAGTGCTCCCTCGCTCAAAGTCTTCTGTGGCCTCCCATTGCTCTCGGGATGGAAGCCAAACTCCTCCTCGAGATGACCCAAGCGTTCCCTTGTGTTTGCCGCACTGCACCCACACAGTCCCCTGTACGCTGAATCCACTGTGTGTCCTCGCCCCTCAGGGCACTTACTTTCAGTATTATAGGCAGCTAAGTTAGGTAGAAATATTATTGGCAGTCATTCAGGCTAGGCCCTGGAAGGAGTCAGTGCAGAAGATAAGAACACATCACAGCTATGGGTGGAGGAGCATTCGCTGAGGGCCAGGGCTCAAGACAAAGATGGAATGAGGACACCTACATGCCTCCCAGACGGATAGGCAATTGTGATCAATATTCTACATAGCATCAACCGCCTGGGAGGGTGACCAGGACCTCCTTGACCCGCCCCTTCCAGGAAAGGTCCTTGTTCTTTCCGTGCACACTTGCTGTGTGACTTGCTTCCCCGCTGGATCAATATTACCTAAGCAACTGCACTTGGAGTCTTATTAGCTGCCCATAGTTGTGTCCCACCTTATGCCCACCTTGTGATTTTGCTCTATAAAACTTTAAGAAGCGGGCTCGTGAGCAACCCACTTCCAGGGTCTGCTCCTGTCCCTCTCAGACAAGAGCTGTGTCTCTCTCAGTAAATATTTCCTACTCTTCACCTCCATTGTTCCTCAGAATTCATTCTTCGATTTTGGGAAGCAGGAACTCCGCATGTCAGATAGCTAGCAAGTTGGGAGTTGTAATATTTCCCTATATCATTTGGAGGTCCTCACACTCTCCGATGCCCTTCCCGTATCCCATGGTTGAGAAGTGCACTCAGTCACCCTTCCAGACTTCACGGAACAGCCCGAGTCCTCCCTCGCCCAACCTCTGGTAAGATGCGCACTTCCTTCTGTGCACTCCCTCAGAGACACTGGCTGTCGCCCCTCACTCTTCTAGACGGTGAGCTCTGGGAGGACAGGGCCCCGTCGGATTCATCGCTGAGCCGTGAAGACCAGCCCATCGAGCTCGCAGCATCTGCAGAAGGTGGGCTGGAGGGGTAGCCAAGACGCTGGACCTGGCTTCCCCCTCCTTTCTGGGCTTCCTCCGACAGGGAAAGGATGGCCCAAGTGCTCTGAGGGTGGGGGTTGTATGTAAAACCGCTTCAGTTCGTCTCTGCCTCTTTTTCTGCTTCCGACATTTTAGATCTGTCTCGAATGCCCCCCTTGCCCCACTCTGGCGACTGGTGGCCATGGACTTGCCTTGACAGCCTAGCTTCTAAGCTTACCCCCGAGGACATCGGGTACATCACACTGGCCCTCAGCCACCTGTTCCCCTCGGGAGGCTTTAGCCTAAAGAGGAAGGATGCAGAACACACTGTGCTGCGTCAGAGGCGGAGGAGGAAGAGGCAGGCTCTTCTTTCCCGAGACCGCCCTCGGGAAAGGCTAAGCTTGTTCCAGAGCCCACAGCCAGGATGAGCTATCTGAAGAGTGCGAGTGAGTGTCCAAGGACATGGCCGGCCAGTGAAGGCTGCCCCAGGCTGAGCCGTCCCCAGGCCTCAAGCTCCTCCTGTGTCCCAGGTGACTCAGCCCCTGCCCAGGCCAGATTTGTCACATCAACTCCAGCCGAAGACCAGCCCCCCAACTCCTCCCTCCTGGCCAGGCTGCCAGGCCCTGCAGCTGATCTTGCCTGCAAACGGGTTTGACTCGAACAGTAACTGCCCTGCCCTGCCCTGCCCTGCCCTGCCCTGCCCGGCCCTGCCCTGCCCATCTGTTCACTGCCCCAACAGAATCTCCCAGCGATGCTTTCATCCCCACTCCTTGCCACGGCGCCCTCCAGTCACCAGGCTCCTACTGGCTTCTTCAGCCCTCTCAGACACCAGACCTGCCCGCGTGACAGAGTGTCACCACACCGCCGAGCACACTGCACAAGATGCCCCCTGTGCTTAGTATGGCATCTCCTCCCTGGGGATACCGGGTGACCTCGTCCTCACTCTTAGCTGCCTTGGTGTCTCCTTCCTGAACGTTCCGTTGCACCTCCCTGGGACTCTAGTCCAAGATTCTGGTGGCTGCTGGGTCTACCGCTTCCTGGCTTGACCTTGGTAGCCCTGCCCTGCCCACTTTGTTCTTCTTTTATGCCTTAGTCCCTAGCTCCAGCTCCAAGTCTGGACGCCTCGCAGGGACTGGGCATCATTCCAATCAAGGCCCTGCTCTGAGGGCACAGGTGCTGGTTGGAAGTGGGGTTGACCGGGGCGGGTGTGGCAGGTGGGCTACCAAAGGAGGCAAGAGGTCTTGAAGGTGAAGTGACAGGTGTGGAGGGGGACGTAACTCAGGCAAGCCTGGCTAGCTGAAGAGTGCCCAGGCTTGGGAGGGGAAGATGGCCGACCCAGGCAGTGTCCCTGCAGCAGAGGGGACTGGAAACAAAGAAGCCTGAACCCTGCAGTTGTACAAATGAGGAAGTAGAAGCCCAGAGAACAGGACCAAACCAAGAGCGCCTGGCTCAGCTGAGGCACCTGGTGTTCTCCAGAAGCCAGGTCTCCAAGCTGGCATTCTAGTTGCTCTGGATGGAGTCTCCACCCAGCTGGCTGGGAGCTGGGGTGCTCAGGTTCATGTGTAGGGAGGGCCAGGCTCCTTCTGTACCCTAATCCCCTCCTCCCCTCCCTCCCTCCCTCCCTCCAGAGGCCCGCCCTGCCGCCTCATCCTGCTAAGCCCATCAACCAGTTTCCACTTGCTGGGTGACTTTGCTGACTCCTAGCAGGGTGGGTCCCCTGGGGGCAGAGCACCCCAAGCCGGGTGGGTTGCACCCATAATGGGCCCAAAGGAGCCTGAGCCCTGTGTCTACAACCAGATGCCCTGCTAGGAGCTGGTCTAAGGCGGCGGCTGTGAGCCCCCGCCCCACCAGCTTGCCCTTGGAGCCCTTACCATGCCCCAGCTTACACCCCGACAACAAGGCTGTGGCCCCCTTCTCTGCTGTGCACACACACAGCCACTTGCCACACATCCCGCTGCACGGTCACCCCCATCCTGCCCAGAAACCGGCACCTCTAGTCCTGAACCGGAGCGGCTCCGTCTGGTGGCAGTGGAGGCAGAGCAGTTCTGCAGCCAGGGGCAGCGGCAGGACTGGGGATTGCTGGCTCCATGGACTATGACCCCACTGAGAGCAGTGGCCTTATCTTACAGCCAAGGGACAAAGAGGTCACACAGCTCCTCTGAGGAACTACATTCTAATACCTTCTGGCCCTGTGCCTGGACCCCCACTGCCCTGCAAATCCGCCACTTTGAGTAAGCCCAGGAAGCACTCCTCTGAGTCTTAGCATGTGTGACCTAATGCCCCAGAACACAGCTGGGCTTTGTCCCTGGCTCGATGCGGCTACAGGCTCTGCCCTCAGAGCATGAGTGCCCAAGCTGAGTCAAGGCCTTGCTGGCACGTAGGCTCTTGCATGCCCTGAAAAATGGTGTTTTGCTGCTTTAGGAATCATCTGCAGATTGGAAAAAGAATGTTCTAATTGGAAAACCTCCCCGCCATGGTTTTCCGGAGTTTTAGTACATTTGGCCGGCAGGGAGGCTCCTGGGATGAGGAGGAAGGGAAGTCATGAGGAGGAGATAGTGGGCTCCCTGCCCAGCGCCCCCCATCCCCTAAGCTCAGCTCAGCTGCTGCTGGGCGGCCGGCCTGTTCTCAGCGTAGGGAATCCAAGGCTGTCTGGCCCCAGCTGGAAGCTCCTCCCTGGAGCCCAGCCTAACCCTGCCCCTGGAGGCCCTGTTGCTGCCCTGGCTCCAGGACTGGGCCCCACTGGGCAGTGTGAGCTAGGCCTTGCTCAGAAGCGGGGTCTGTATGGGGGCGCTGGGCTGGGGCACCTGGCAGAGAGCTGCAGGCCGCATGTGAGCACCGGCTTATGGACAAAGCGTCCTGCGAGGGAGGCCACCCTGACTCAGGGGCCCTGTGAGGTCTGACCGGTTGCCTCGGCCAGAGCGACCT